TCGACTATTTACAATAAAATTTTGTAATTTTTTTTTTCTTTTTATTATTATTGAGGTTTCTTTCTCACCCTATAAGGATCGATTCTAAATTAGTGCCTTTAAATTTTTTTTTTTCATTTTCAAAAAAATATAACAAAAATAAAATAGCGAAAACGATAGAAAAATTTTAAATATTTTTATGTTAAATTCACGTGTAGTGGCGCTTTTTATAGTTATAAAAAAATGTTACATATTATTCACAAAAAAAAAAATGTCTGAATATAAACATTGCCAGCCACACAAAAAATTTCGTTTACATATCAGCAATTATACTTATTATTTGGGTAAAGTATTGTGTTGGAGAATTAGGTTGAAGCAAATTGGCTGGTGATGAAGAAAAGAATTAAGTGATCCTGGAGCACAGTCAGCCTAACCCGTAACATATCACAATAGATTTCTTTCTCATACAGATAGAATTTCTCCCTGAACCTTCATCAGACTAATCTATTCAGATACAAGAAGAAATGCGTAAAATGCTCAAATATTAATAAAGGGACATCCTTAGTTATATTTAAGTTCACATTCTCCCAATTCAGGAAACCAATGACTGCCGCATATTCAGAAAATCACATCAATACCAATAAGTTCTTGGAGCCCATACAACTTAACGTTTTCTCAGGTCTGTAGAGATTTTGTTTTACTAGTTATCGTATAAGTGATAATCGTTTGGCCAACGCATCACTCACAACCTAATTTTTTTGGACTCTAACGCAGTAAAAATTTTAACCTTTAAGACAGTGACGTACTTTACTATCAGTTGCTTTTTGTCATCCCCACAATGGAACGAAAAGACTTCTACTTTTTCAAAAGATAACTTTTAAGGCCTTCTCAGTTTCTGAATTATCAGTAGGAATTGCATTTTCGCTAGCTTAAAATCTATCGATCACATTTCTCTCGAAGGAAGTACGAAAATAGCTTATAATTTGAGCCTAGAAAGTTAGCGATTCTCTTGATATTTAAAATTCGGAACAACTATAAAAAGAAACCACTATTACGTTCCATTGTGTTTACGGATCCGATTAATAAATGCTTAATGAAGTAAATAGAACTTCCGCTTCGAAAAAATACATTATTCTTCCACACAGGATAATTTTATACATTTTACTTCTTGGCATTTTCCTTTCTTTTTGCTTATAAAAACATATTTTTAATTATCTCGAGATCTAGTTTATTTTTACTTATGACCAACTATCTTAATTTTCTTTTAAGCGTTTCCATATTTTTTTTGCGTTTGTTTGCCATTCTTTCCCATTTTTTTCTTCGGCCATAAAACTTTTCTTTGTGTTCTTTATGAGTCGCCTTACAAATTGTTTAAATTACTTCCTTTCATTGCTAATTTTACTTTTTATCTTTGTTCGGAATTTTCTTCTTAATATAATTTTATATTCTATACAAAATTGCTGTTTTTTATTTTTCTATATAGTTTAATAGAATTCTTGGCGCATTTTTTCTTACTTGCCTGTGTTATTTCTTTTTTATTTTTAACTTATATTCACTCTTAAATCTTTATTTTATCACACAATAATAATTAAAACTATACATTAAAATATTTTTCTTTTTTTTTTTGGTTTGTTTTCCTTATTATTTTTTTTTTTATTTTGAGAACTGAATCTGTCCTTCTAAGGATCGTTTCTATTCTTAGACACAATCAGAAAAAACTATCAATAAGTATTATCACTATCAATATCATCGTCCGTTATCGTTACGATTCAATGAAAGAGAATAATAATTCAAAAAAAAAGAGAACAAAAAAATCGTAAGAAGAAAAGAAAAAATAGGGGAAAGCTTGAGGAAACATAAGGCCGCCTGTGATTGAAAAAATTGATGAAAATTCTTGTTTCTCTGATTTTTTTTTTTGTTTTTTGAAAGAAAGAGAAGATGAAAAAAAAACTAATTAACAGTTCACATTGGTCAATACAATTAAGAAAAAATAATATAAAAAAAATATATATTTAGCGTAGAATTTACACATCGATTTGAATGACTTTGAGTAAGTTTTCGAAAAAGTATGCAATATTCCATTTTTTGTTTTGAATTAATGTTTCTTGCGATGTTGTTGAACCTATATTTCTCGCAGAATGTGACAGAGAAAATGTAGGAATACGGAAAGTCATGCAACCATTACAGTAGATGGTGAAATAGATTACAATAGATGATAGCTTTTTCTGCAAATTCAAATTCATACATAGATCACTAGAAAGTTTAAGCTTTTCTAAAAGTCATGTAGGTTTTAGAATGCCAATGAAAATGGGTAAATTATTTTATTCTTACGATTGAACGAACGTAATCCTAAAATAACGAAGAACGTTGTCCTATTTATCCATGAACTCATATTAGTTCCAATTAATATAAGACACCCGGGTGCAAAAACTCTTGCAAATATTACTTAGAATAGCTTAATTTGACGAAACTGCTTTCTCTCCCCCCTCCCCGTTCCAAAATTGTAGCTTCCTTAACCATCATCTATTTACTTTGTAAATTTTTTCTTTTCTTATCTTACGAATAAATCAAAAGGAAATGAACACTCACTGATAAAGAGACACCAAATTCTCATTGAAAAATGGAAAAAAAAACTAAAACGAAAAAGCATACAATAATAAATCGAATTAATAGAGAAAATAAAACTATTGTTCTACTCAGGAAATGAGACATTTTAATAGAAAAGAAATTTTCCTGAGCATAACAACCATAAAATAAAAAAACAGAACAAAATCTCAAAATTATCATTGTAATAGTGTAACGTCATTATCTCTCAAAATGAACAACAATTAAGAATTTTGTAAAAAAAAACCAAAAAAAAAATATAAGAAAACGCGAAATTCCTTATCAATTATAAAAATAAAAAGGAAAGCGGAAGATATTGAATAAATTTTTTATTGAACGCAACTAAAGGTTAAGTGTAAGGGAAGGAGACACAAAAATCAATTTAAATTTGAAAAATTTATTCAAGACTCTTTAATGAAGTACTTAATTAAATTTTTGTTGAAGTTTATATGTAATATGAACGTTTGCACTGAAAACAAGTAGAAAATTTTTTGGAAGACGCAAATTTTATTGACCAGACTGTTTTGAAACTAATCATTTCTTTAAAAGCCTGTTCATCAAAAATTCTAACATTTCATTTGTCATTTTTTCCTATATTTCTCGCAACAGCTGCTGCAGGAAACTTTTCTGGAGTGGCCTATTATCTACCCATAATCGCCAACCACATAATGTATTATTATGATCTCTACTACTGAATCTGTCTTCAGTGAAAAGATAACCGGTTGCTGGTGAAAAAATTTGCATTTTTCAGTCTTGGCAAATGTAGTCGCGAATTTTTCTGCTTCAGAATATTGCTACGCCATCTCGTTCATAGACAACCTTAAGATATATTATACCTATAGATAAGCTATTGTTCTGCAAGTAATCAACCTTGTTACCATCTGCCTAGCAGAGAAATGGTGTTCAGTAGATTTTCGTTTTTTATTTTCTAACGTATTTCTGACATTATCGGGTGCTCTACAGTTTACGTCTTCGAATCTGCAAAAAATTCTACTTTACACTGTTACTGGGAGATTCGGATTTTTGTTATGTCATGAAAACATTTTGGGGTTCAACAGTGTTGAATGTAAGGATCACAAGTCTTGTATACTAAAGTACGATTGTTACTTATACAGGATTACTCTTAAACGTGAAAGGTTTCTAAATTATCTTAGGATTTTGTTAAATCAAAAACTTGATTGAAAGTTCTACCTTAAAATGGACAAATCCTAATTTTGCATATTTTATTCCATCTCCCCCTGTTTATTTACTACTGATTTCCGCTTCTGTGGTCTATTGTAATAGATGACTTGACCGTTGCTCTCAGGGTCTCATAGGGCCTTCCAAGAATACTTAAGAACATAACAGAATACAATAGTTCGAAAGAGGTGGTGCAAATATCTGGGGTTAAATTTTAATTCCAACAAGAGCACATTAATTGACTTGTCAAAACGAATCACACTCTTTTTGGTGAGTGTATTTCATACTTCATGGAAATTAAATATTTGGGGGTAACTCTAGATGATAACCTCTCCTGGAATATTTATACCAGGAGAGGTTATCATCTCATATTTCCTGGTCATCGAAAGGACTGTCGTTGCCGTGTGGACGTGTAGGAGTTTTGGTTACAATGGAAGCATTCGTTAGATTGTCGCCGTTGCGGGAATATTATGCGGGAAGCTTGACTAACAACTTATGGACTTCTGACTAGAGATGATATCATAGGGAAAAGATTGGCCCACGACACTTTATTTAGAATTATAATGATTCAAATTCATTTATAGTAAATGTTAAATAACTTTTTTTTTAGTCATTACTATTTTAGAATTTTATAAATAAAATTAAACAGTAATCACTCAGAATATTCTTCTCCTCTTTTAACACCTTAATTAAATCCCGTTCATGATTAAACAAAATTAAATATTTTTAATATAAAACAGAAAAATTTAAAAATAAAAATTCTCAATCACTATTAAAAAAAATTCACTGAAAAAAAAAAATTTAATGAAATCACTAAAAACTTTAAAAATAAAAATTTATTTTTAATTATTCATTTTCTATTTACTATAAATGTTAATTACTTAGTAAATACAAGAAAAAAATAAAAAACAAACAAAAAATTTACAATATACAAAATTAAACAAAAAAATTTTACAATTACAAATAAAAATAAATACAAACAAATATACACACTCATTTTTTATTTAAATATAAAAAAAATCCATTACCGTAATCAATTAAGTAAATATTTGTGTAATCAATTTGATTAAAATGTAAAAGGGGAAAATCGGACATTTAAAAACAGAATATTCCCCCCCTCCACTTAAATAAAACGAGATAACGGTATATTATTAATTTGATTAATTAGAAAAGAATAGCATTACTTACCAAAAATTATCTCATTGATTTTTCTGGACAGCATTTACCGTCGTCATATATAAACTGAAGATCAAAAATATTTAAATTCACTCGTTATACTAACTGAGCCGCCATCAAAGGGATCTGCCGATTCCGTATACGAACAGATACCTTTTTAGTATTTTTATTTTAATTTGCAAAAAAAAAGTTTAATTTTTAATTCATTTTTTTATATACACGGTTAGTTGTTTTTAATATTAAATATTTTTTTATAATATTTTCAACACACCAAAAAGGATATTTTAATAAATTATTACAAAAGGATATTCACTCATATATAATACACAGAGAGAAAAACAAAAAAAATTAAAGTTCATTCAAAAAAATTGCAAGAATTATAAATAAATTATTTTATATATTTCGATTATTATTTGAAATCAACTATATTAAAAAAAAAATAAATGAAAATAATAATTAAATTAATATCAAAAATAACTTATATAAGTGAATTAGAATTCGGTTATCTAACAAATAAATAAAATCAAATAATATTTTTTATATAGATCAAATTTTTAAAGTGCAATCAATTTATAGAATAAAAATAATAATGAAAAAATTAAAATTATTATATAAATATTTTCAATTACATAAGGATTACATCATACCATATCAAATAACAGAACAGTAACAAAAGAGTTAAATAAAAATTATTGAAGAAGAGCATTATTGGAATACAAGCATAGAGATGACAACAACACAAAAATGCATTAAATAATTTTCAAACGTACTTTAACCTCAATTGTCAAATAAAATAATGAGACCGTAATTGTAATTACCTAAATCATCATTAAATTAAAAATAGAGTAATAGGAAATAGAGATTAAATTACTCATACCGAATATGGCAAAAAAAAAGATATGAATCGGAAAAGAGGAAGATAGTACAAAAGATCGGAAAATGATATACTCCTACCGAAATACACAGTATACCCCGTATATAATTAAAACCGATTGCTTCCATATTTGTGATATACATATATGGAAAATTTTTTATATTTCAATAATTTGTCACTATAAATGTTCTAGAAAGTATTGTTTTCAATTTTGAAGATTTCGAAATAGAATAGAATCGAAAAAGAGTGAAAATTCAATTCAGAATGTTTGACATGAAATGAAATCAAATTTTATGATTTTGTATCAAATTTTATATTGCTTTCGATACAATTTTGAAAATCTTATATAATCTCGATTTCTATCGAAAATTGAAAAAATTCCTTTCGTCTTATGTAATTATTTGTTAAAAGAATTTTTAATCGAAAAAATATTTTACAATCGATTTCGATTTAATTTTTATGTAATTTATAATCGATCAATTTTTAACTTTTATTATTGCTTACATTAATTAAATTAAAATTCAGATTTTTATCATAGCTCGCTATGGTACATAAAAATGTCAAAAAGGCAGATTTTTTCTAAAATAATTAAAAATAATTTGGAAAAATTTAATTTACTAATTAAAAATTATTTAAATTTCAATTTTCAAAGAAAGAAAAAGAATAATAAAATATGACGTGGCGGACAATTCAATTCCCATATAGTGCAAATTTCATAATTCAGGCAAATTTATAAAATTTTGCTGACTTTCAACTGAAGTTATTTAACATTTCCCCATTCTTTATGACAAATTATTTTAGCTAATAAAACAAAAAGGACTCAACAATAATCCGGATTTCCAGCCAACATACAAAAATATTGAAAAAAGTACAGGAACATAGCTTTTCCCTACGTCAAATCCAGAAATATAATACGTAGAGCTAATATAACAAATATAATGATAGAAAAAATATAACAAAATAAACAAGAGGACATGATGGACTTTTACCTTTTACATTATTTGAACAGAAGTTCATCAATTTATCCGAATATGTCCTTGTGGTTTAGTTCGCTTGTTTTATCTCTTTTTTTTTGTAATTTTTGAAAAATTTTCTCTCACATTTTTTTTTTATTTATTTTCATTAGTATTGCTTTATTTATTTCATCCTTAAAGAACCAACAAATAAAATGTTTAGTAGAAATGAATTGTACAAGATTTATTACAAGTCCTTATATGTACATACTTTTTCAATTCACTTATGAAATGTTTAATTTTCCTTCTAACAATAGAAAAAAGGAAAATATTTTCTATAGCATACTCTATTTATAAATTAAAATTAAATTATAACATAAAAATTTTCAAAAGAAAAAAACTAAAACAAATTTTCACGGTTTCATTTTACAAGTTCCAACAATTTCTTCCCTTTCTTCTGAAAAATAAATGAGGCAGCACAACACAATGAATAAAACAAATTGCATAAATTTGACACTAAACCATCGTCGTCTGTCTGACTGCAATATTGCAAAAAAAACAACAAAACAATAATAAATACACTCTATATACTGCAAGGACTAAAAAACAAAAAAAAAAAAAGAAAAAGAAAGAAAAGAAACCATAGGAACCAAAGCTACTTGTCATTGTATACACACTAAAAGAAAACAAGTGAAGTTTTTCTTTTTTTAATTTTATGGTTATTTGTAACAAGCAGTAACTGCAAACCACAAAAAAGAACCAGTAAAATAGATGCTCTTTCTGAGAAATGAAATAAAAAAAAATTAAATGAAGAATTGAGAACATGATGAGAAAAATCCACTACCAACATTTCATTGTGCCACGGAATATAAGAAAAAGTATATAAGGAAACGATATAAGAAAAGGATTTTTCAACAAACAAGGCATTTAGCACACAAAGTAAAGAAAACAAGGATATCACTTGAATCTTGTTAATTAAAAACAGAAAACAATATAAACAAAAAGCGAAAATTTTGTGCCAACAAAATATTTTTTCCACCGTATTGAAAATTTTCCAACTTGAAATTGAAAATATTAATTTTGGCAATGATAACAATAATAATTATTTATTTCAATAAATATTTCAAGGATAATTAAATTAAATGTTTGTGGTGCTATGTTTTTCATTAAAATTTAATAATTTAATGCTAATATCATCTATGAATCAAATTAAAATTTATTTAGCAAGAATACGATTATTATCCTTTAATAATTACAAGCCATAAGTGGAAGCGATATGCCTCGGAAAACAGGAACGCAACTATCATGCGTCATGTGTAATATTTAATACTTAGTGTTCATTGCTTTGAAAACGACGGGGACGCGTAGAGCGTCGAACAATTTTGAACCGGGCCTGTTTTTATAATATTAATCATATTTTAATAGGCCTAAAGAGCAGTCGGATTCGACCGTTGTGTTAGGGTGTTTTTTAATTTATGTTAATAACTGTAATGAATTGTAATGAAAAAATGAAGAGAAGTGTGCAAAAAAAACATTATCCTACTTTTATACAGTAATTTAAGCCCAAGCACAAGAGTTATTTATAATTTAATTTCATAATTTAGTAAAGAATTTCAAAAAACTATGCGATACAAAAGTATTTAACCACATATAAATAATGGTAGTATTTTAAGAATTTCCTTGGTAGCAAAATTTTTTTTTAAATTTATTATGAAATGCAAGCATTTCTACGGTAAAAATTTTCTATCACCACAATTTAAATTTTTAAATTTAACCACAAAACATTTTCTAAATTCTATTCAAAAAGTTTAAAATTCCTCTGTATACCCAGGTCTTATGGTTAACGTATAATAATGGTAAAAAAAGGACATTATAAATAATAAAAATTGTAAATAAATTTTACATTTTTCTTAAAATTCTAAAAGAAAAATGCAAAAAAGAACAAAAACATCCCATAAACTACAACAATTTCTTATCCACATCAGGACATTTTTATAATGTAAAAACCGAAATACAAAATCCTTTTGATTTAAAAACTTTATGAGACATTAGAAGATTCCTGAAATGAAATAATGTAAACTTTTCAACACACGAAAAAATATCTGAACAAAATCTCTAAATTTTTCCTTTCTATTGAGTAAGAGATTGAAATCGTTCAGCTGTCTAGGTACAAAGATACTTACAGTATTGCATTTACATTTCAACAAAAATTTTGCATTCCACGTCCTTTTCCTCCTTTTCCCATTGCGTTTTCTTGTGAAGCATTTACAAAATTCGAGTTATGGTCTTCTAATATTTCTTCTTCATATCAGACATTTTTACTTCCCATTCACTTCTTCAGTTTACAAGTAATAATGCTTTCAAATATGAGACAGATTTTATATAAAACCAAAAAACGAAGTATGTATGACAAATCCATTATAAAATATAAATTCGAAAGCTACTTAAAGATGCAATAGATTACAATCTTAAGACATCTGCTTCCATAATCATCTGTACTCAATAAATTCACTTAATAAATAATTTTAAATATCTATTTGTATAAGATGATGAACAAAAATTGCATTTGAATGAACTTCAATTTTCTGGTTATTTTAATACAAAAAAATTCATAGAAACATCTAAAAATATAGAAAAAAATCGAATATTATGAATAATCGATTTATTTACAAATTATATCGAATAAGTAAAAATCAAATTATATTTATTATTTTGTTTACTTTTAATATTTTTAGTCGTTAAGTAATACATAAAAATCAGCCAAAATGTGTGATGATGATGCTGGTGGTCTTGTAATTGACAATGGTTCCGGTATGTGCAAAGCCGGTTTCGCTGGTGATGATGCCCCACGTGCTGTATTTCCATCAATTGTTGGCCGTCCACGTCATCAAGGTGTGATGGTCGGTATGGGTCAAAAAGATTGTTATGTTGGTGATGAAGCACAATCAAAACGTGGTATTCTAACATTGAAATATCCAATTGAACATGGTATCATTACAAATTGGGATGATATGGAAAAAATTTGGCATCATACCTTCTATAATGAATTACGTGTTGCACCAGAAGAACATCCAGTTTTATTAACAGAAGCACCATTAAATCCAAAAGCTAATCGTGAAAAAATGACACAAATTATGTTTGAAACATTTAATTCACCAGCTATGTATGTTGCTATTCAAGCTGTTTTGTCTTTATACGCTTCCGGTCGTACAACTGGTATTGTATTAGATTCCGGTGATGGTGTCTCACATACTGTACCAATTTATGAAGGTTATGCTTTACCACATGCCATCTTACGTTTAGATTTGGCTGGTCGTGATTTAACCGATTATTTAATGAAAATCTTAACTGAAAGAGGTTATTCATTCACAACAACAGCTGAAAGAGAAATCGTAAGAGATATTAAAGAAAAATTATGTTATGTTGCATTGGATTTCGAACAAGAAATGGCAACTGCTTCAGCATCAACATCATTAGAAAAATCATATGAATTACCTGATGGTCAAGTTATTACCATTGGTAATGAAAGATTTAGAGGACCAGAATCATTATTCCAACCATCATTTTTGGGTATGGAATCAGCTGGTATTCATGAGACTGTATATAATTCAATTATGAAATGCGATGTTGATATTAGAAAGGATTTGTATGCTAACACTGTATTATCTGGTGGTACTACCATGTATCCAGGTAATTTTGTTTTCTTAATATTAAACATAAAGTTTTTTACTAAAGTGTTTGGATTTTAGGTATTGCTGATCGTATGCAAAAGGAAATTACATCATTGGCTCCATCAACAATTAAAATTAAAATTATTGCACCACCAGAACGTAAATATTCCGTATGGATTGGTGGTTCAATTTTGGCCTCATTGTCCACTTTCCAAACTATGTGGATTTCAAAACCAGAATATGATGAATCTGGACCAGGAATTGTACATCGTAAATGTTTCTAAACATTTTTTTTGAAATGTATACAAAAAAGCAACAATCATAATAACAATAATAATCAGCAACAGCAACAACTAAAATAACAACAACTACTACTTATACAAAAAGAACAACAAGAACAGGAACAGAAACAACCAGCTATAACGATTGGATGTATAATAATTACTTGAAACAACACACGAAAAAGGAAAATATTTTTAATTTTTTTATTTTTAATATTTTAATTTATAATAGTTTTGTTTTTTTTTTTAATTTTTAATTATTTTGTTTTTGTTTTTTTTTTTTTGGTTTAATTTTTAAATTTATTTTTACTAAAATTTTTTTTTTTATATTTTTAATTAAATATTTAAAAAAAAAATATTATTTTTTTTTTACGGCCAATAAGAATATTTAATTGTTACAAACAAACAAAATTTTTTTTCTATTTAATTAATTATATTATTATTAAAATTTAATTAATTTTAAATAATTAATATATAAAATATTTAATGTAATGCAAATTAATAACTACAAACAAATATAGGTTGAACTTTCTATCACATGAAAGAATGAGACCAATATATTTATTTTCAAATCATTTTAATAAAAATATTTTTATTTATACTCAGAAAAATAATTTTTGCTTTTTGTTTTCAATTAAAATTCAATTTTTTTTGTAAAATACAAAAAATAATTATAAAAATTAAGATTAAAAAGAAAAACACCCAATTATACATCCAACAAAAAAAAAAAAAACAAAACTTAATTTAAAATAATTATTAAAAGAAAAAAAAATTAATTAAAAAAACATTTTATACTTAAAGAATTAATAAAAAATTTTAAAACAAAAATTTAGACATTTGGGTTGGGGTTGAATAATTATTATAATATAACAATGAAAATTAAATGCGAAAATCAATAAAAATTGAACAACACACTGAAAAAAATAAAAAAAATTCTAAGGAAAACAAAATTAAATGCGGCCAACAAAAAAAGTTTCAATAAAAACAAAAAAAAAATTTTTTTTTTAATTTTTTGTCTTTCGCAAAAACGAAAATATTTTTGTTACCCCCGGTATTTGCTAATAGTCAAACAATATAGCAATAAGAAATAATAACAACAATCAACAACAAAGTAGAAAACAAATTTTATTCTGAAAAATAACAAAACAAAACTATTCTTCAATATTGAAATATGATTCAACATGTTCGTTCATACATATATCAAATAAAATTTTTGTTTGAAACATGGGCAAACAAAATAATAATCACAATCATACATATATTGCGAAGCTTTTATCGTACATACGTCATTTATATCAGTGGCCGGCTTTAAAGAATATTTACTTTAAGGTACTACCCAAAATAAATGAGTACTATACTAGAAAAAAATATTCACATTCGCTTATGTGTATACTCACATATACATATATAGTAGATAATAATTATGCCACCAGAGGACTGTCTTCGATTTTAATTTAATTTTTTTTTTTTTTTGAATATAATAACATACAATAAAAAAAAAAAACCAAATAATTCATACCCGGAAATTTAAGTTAAAAATAATAAAAAAATATAATCGCTAAATCTAATATGAATACAACAAACGCAAACATATATAATAAAATTAATAAACAAACACATACATACGAAAAAAAAAAACAAATAAAATACAAATATAACAGTTTTATTTATTTGTATAACAGTTTATAAAACTGTTATACAAATAAAAACTGTTATACAGATTAAAAAAATTATACATAAATTAAAAATAATATAAAAATAAAAAATATTAAAATTATTTGAAAGAAAAATATATAAATAAAGAAGAACACAGAAAGAAATAAACTTTCAAAAAAAAAATTTTATTACATTTTTAAAATTAATTAAAAATTAAAAAAAAAAATTAATTATTAATATAATTATTATTTTTTTAAATTTATACTGAATTCATAATTATTATTAAAAATAAATAAATAACAAAACAAAAAAATTTTTAAATAATATTTTAGTAAAAATTTAAAAATAAAAAAAAAATAATAAAAAAAAAAAATTTTTTTTTTTTTAACTTTAATTCGCTTACATAAATGATATCTCGTGTTTTTTTGTTTTCTCTTTCGAATTTCTTTTTTTTTTTATTTTATAAGAGATTTTTAATTAAAAAATATTTATTTATTATAATTTATTAAATTATTAATATAATTTACTTATATATACTTATAAAGTATAACAATATAATTAATTGTTTGCAAAAAGTTTTTAAGAAATTTTTCATTTCTATTTTTTAATTTTTAATAATTTTCCGTTTCTTTTCTTGTTTTTCACTTTGAATTATTGCTTCCAACCATAATATATTTGAATATTGACACTTAATGTATACATACATATATAAATATCCTTTTTCTCTCTATAAACATTTAAGAGGAATTTTCTATATTACATAGCTATTATAATAATTAAATTAATTATATATACCGAATTCAAAATTAATAAATGAAAATCTTAAAAAAAAAAATTTTTTTTATATACATAACAGTAACATAACGTTATTTTTTAGATAAATGAAAGTATAAATAAAATATCGAATTAATATATTAATGTAATTTATTTGAATTTTCAATGAAAACATACAATATACACAACAAACATTGCACTTACAAGTAACATTTAACACACATTGATTTGACACAAACAAAAAAAAAATTTTACTATTATCTATATTATGAAAAAAAGTAGATATTTTTCTCTAATAGCTTGTTTAAAAACTCTCTTCTTTCGTTCTTTCAAAGCTCAGACATGGTAGGACGGTAACGGGTAATGATCTTAATATATAATATAAAAATAAAGAGAAAGAAAAGAGGTGAACACAATAACGTAGTAACATTATAAATAGCTTTTTAACATCTGGTCAATAGTGCAGTGCTATGACCCAATCAGAGGCTCGGATAAAAATTATATTCAATATTACATGACTTAATATGACACAATACGATAAAATGAAGAAAAAATTAATATTAAACTTATTAGTATATTCCAATAATATGCGATATAAAATACCAACAAAATACATAAAACAATAAATATCAATAACCTGGAATATTTATTATAAAGAAAAAACAAATATACGGCCGACTTGTCACCTATGTTGTTGAAAACCCTTTGACGCACGAATGAAAGTTAATGAATCATAATAAAAAAGTCTTTTTATTACCCAAATCAGAGAAATTCAAGTATAATTGTCAAATACCCTTGCGCATTTTAAAATTATTTGGATAAAATTTTACCTTCTTAGGTTCTACGATGCAAGCAAGAAAGTTCAGATTGAACCGAATTACCGAATCATTTATGTGGTTTGTAAAAGCGTAGAGTGAAAAAAGATGTCCTTAAGATTTGCTAATTTTTCAAATTTTGATCATTTGCTGTTCTTTTACAGAATTTAGCACTAAGTTTAAGTATGATACAAAAATCATAATTTTGACAAAAAATCACCCAACTCTCCTACGAACGTTCTATACAGTAATCGTATGCCGCAGAAATATACCGCTTTTTCCGACTCAGAGCAATAATGAGCAAAGAATCCTGATAAGAAGAGGATTTTTTTCAACCGGTATAAAGAGAAGAAAGAGTAGATAGCAATTTATGACTGTCAAAAATAATTTATCCAAAAATTTCCAATTCCAATAATATTTCCAATAATATTGGCAATACTATTGTATTAAATAGCACAAAAAAATTTTTTCCCCGAACTAGTACATATACAAAATATTGTTTTGAATTTTCCTCGATTCACTATTTAATTTTTATTCTTTAGAGTTTAACAATGTGAAAATTGTCACCATCGTTAAATAATCCTAATATTTTTAGAAATTATCATGTTCATCGAAATAAACACCATTAATTACTTCTGTCATACAAAAAAATTTCTTTCCTATTTGCATAATTGAGACATTTTAAATAAAAAAAAATAAGAAATACGAAAAATATTCAATTTTTTAATTTCATTTATTTTTTATTATTTTTTTTTCAAATTCTTAAAATTTATGCGTACCTTTGAAAATTTTCCAATATTAAAGTACAAATTTTATTTTACAATATACTTGCAATTTATTTTCTTTAACAGCACTAAATTTGCAAGAAATATTCAAAAACAAAAAAGAGGACAGAGAAAAAATCGAAAATATCACGATCTTTAATAAATCAAAACATTAAATAACATAATAAAATTACAAAATGTTTAAAAAGAAAAAGGTAAAATATTGTTATTTGTAAGGCAATTAATTCATTTGTACAATAACAACAATAAAAAAAAATATTTGTCTAATAAAAAATAAACGCAAGCAGAGAGAATCAAAAAGATTAAAAAATTCCCTAAATAGCAATGAGAGAATTTTAAGAAAATGAGAAACAAACAAGCACAAATAATAAAACATAAAACATTTCTTCTTCGTTTATATTCGTATTTCCCCGTTACATTATCTCATGAGCAAAATAAGTACGGCGAATTAAAAAGTATTTTATGCAACAATTACCAAAGCAAAGAACGCGTCATCGCTGATGCATCACAATACCATTTATAGAATTAAATAGAAGTTCTTTTGACCCATGAATAAGAACTTGAAAAATAAAACATTTATAGTTGATCACACCTAAAATGGGGCAAATGCCTTATGGTCTCAGATTCTTAAATGGTCAATTTTATTCGATTTAAAGACAATTTCATACAAATAGCAACTAGTAACTAGTATTATGAAAGCCTTTAAGATTTGCTAAAATTTTGATAAATTGCTATTTAAGATCTTACAAAAAATTTTCGATTTTTTAATTCCATAATTTCTTTAAAAAACCTTGTCAAAAACCACTTTTTAAATGCATATTCTAATTAACCCGTTATAATCCTTTAATGCCATATGCACAACACATATTTTGTTACTTTACTCCTTGCTCCCTTTTAAATTCAATACACTTTGCTATAGTAACAGCAATTGTAATTTGAAATATAATTTAACTTCAGCTAAACACTATAATGTTGGAATATTTACACAATCACGCGTGTTTAACCCTTACAAACACACAATAAATTTTACTATACCCTTCAAAACATAGCAGAATATATTAACAAATGCATAATTCATGATCTAAAAACGGAACAAATTTATCATCAAAAAAGTAACAAAAAATCGTCTTTTGATTTTACAGAAAAAAAAATAATTACAATATGGAAAATAACTCTCATCCAAAAGAATTAATCACGCCTCTCTTTATTCTCCTAGTTTCTCTTCATCTCTCTCTATTAATTTATTCCATTTTCGCTCTTAAATGTAACAGTAATTTTTATTAGTCCTTAATGAAAATCAAAAGAATCATAAATGCAATTTTAGGTGTATGAACAATCAAAAATAAAGAGAACAATTCAACTGCATTGACACTAATCACAATTGGTATAAAAGAACTAAGCAACGATCATGAAAATTCATTAGTTTAAAATTCGTGCAACTGTTAAGATATAATATTCGAAATCAGACGGTCGAGTATTCAACAGAAATCACATAACGGTGATCGTTCGAGCCCTTTAAAATCGAGCCATTAAAAAATAAATCATTCCGGATTTAAAAGGAAAATATATTGTGCTTCTCCAAAACAATTACAGAATATTTTGTTAAACCATTTATGAGATAGTGATTAAATCCATTAAAAAAAAATATCTCACATTCATAAATAAAATCACAAAATTTTTATAATATTCTCTTAAATATTTAACAAAATATTAAAAAAAAAAATTTAAACAAAACCAAAAATCTATTCTACGGTAAAAAGCAAATTTAATAAATTAAAATGTGTGACGACGACGCTGGTGGTCTTGTAGTAGATAATGGATCCGGAATGTGTAAAGCTGGATTTGCTGGTGATGATGCCCCACGTGCTGTATTTCCTTCAATTGTTGGCCGACCACGCCATCAAGGAGTTATGGTCGGTATGGGTCAAAAAGATTCGTATGTAGGTGATGAAGCACAATCAAAACGTGGTATTCTAACATTGAAATATCCAATTGAACATGGTATCATTACAAATTGGGATGATATGGAAAAAATTTGGCATCATACCTTCTATAATGAATTACGTGTTGCACCAGAAGAGCATCCAGTTTTATTAACAGAAGCACCATTAAATCCAAAAGCTAATCGTGAAAAAATGACACAAATTATGTTTGAAACATTTAATTCACCAGCTATGTATGTGGCTATTCAAGCAGTCTTATCATTATATGCATCCGGTCGTACAACTGGTATTGTATTAGACTCTGGTGACGGAGTTTCACATACAGTACCAATTTACGAAGGATATGCATTGCCACATGCCATTTTACGTTTGGATTTGGCCGGCCGTGATTTAACCGATTATTTAATGAAAATCTTAACTGAAAGAGGTTATTCATTCACAACAACAGCTGAAAGAGAAATCGTAAGAGATATTAAAGAAAAATTATGTTATGTTGCATTAGATTTCGAACAAGAAATGGCAACTGCTTCAGCATCAACATCATTAGAAAAATCATATGAATTGCCGGATGGTCAAGTTATAACCATTGGTAATGAAAGGTTTAGATGTCCTGAATCATTATTTCAACCATCATTTTTGGGTATGGAATCATGTGGTATTCATGAAACGGTTTACAATTCGATTATGAAATGTGATGTTGATATAAGAAAGGATTTGTATGCTAACACTGTATTATCAGGTGGTACTACCATGTATCCGGGTAAGTGAGAATGTGAATGAATTAATTTTTTAATTGAGAACATTAAAAATTTTATTTTCGTTTAAATAACGTAGGTATTGCTGATCGTATGCAAAAAGAAATTACTGCTTTAGCACCATCAACAATTAAAATTAAAATTATTGCACCACCAGAACGGAAATATTCCGTATGGATTGGTGGTTCAATTTTGGCATCATTATCCACTTTTCAAACTATGTGGATTTCCAAGCAGGAATATGATGAATCTGGACCAGGAATTGTACATCGTAAATGTTTCTAAGCAAATTAGTTTTGTATTAAAATTACAAAAATAATGGAATGGGAACGCTATAACTGAATTTTTAATTTTCTTGTTAATTTTATTTTTTTTGTTTTATTTTTTATCTTTGCTCTATATGAAGACACAAACGTATCTCTAGTCAGTGTTTTTTTTTGAATTTTTTAATAATTGTCAGCAACAATCAACAACGTAATATCAAAGAAGACAACACCTAATTGTGAACACACACAGTGAACTTTTTACACAAAATTGTACAATATGTAAGAATAGTTTAACATCGCTGTTACAAACGCTATAAGTTCATACATAAATTTTTCTTTTTTTTTTTTTGAATAAGTTTTACACGATCGATTGCCATAATATTTAAAAAAAATGTTAAGCACAATATTTTATAAAAAATTAATAAGTAAAATCTCTAAAAATCTAATAAAGTTTATTAAAATCTTATAAAAATTTTATTTTGGTCATTAATTTTTATAAACAATAAATTAAACAAACAGTGCCCTTAAATTTTTAACAAGTAAAATTGTGTGATTCAAATATTTGAAACTAGCGTTAAGCTTCACTTCAAAACATTTAAAAAATTGACAATATAAAAAGCAAAATACAGTGAAGCTTCTATATTACGAACACAAAATTTTCACTTAAGTGTTAGTTGTAATATAAAAATGTTTTAATACAAAGAACCCTCCAAAGAGAAGTGATATTTTATTTTCAAGCAAATTGTTAGTTCAATATGGATTGGCTAACGGTAATGTCCACTATAAAATCGATATTTTAAGTATAGGGATTCCATTTTGCACTTGAATTTGATCATTTATTGACTGGCAAACCTTTCAATTAACTGTATAATTATTTTCAATAACCATTCCATGTGAATTTAGAACACATTTCCCAGTTCGAATTCCTAAGCTCTTGAAGGGATTCTGAACACCATTCTCTTTTACACAATATTCAAAACTTTCACTTCCAAACTACAAATAAACCTTTATTTAAATATTTTATGAATTTTAAGAAAATAAAAACAAAAAAATATTTTTTGTAATAATTTTACAATAATTTTCCTCCACAAATCATTCTCTTATAACACATTGCCTCATCTCAACAACTAATTCTAGAACGATAATGTGTGCACTCACCTTACCATGGAATCCTGATAAATTTATTTATAAGATCAAACCTTTATAAATAAAATTTTCAACTTTCTTATTTACTTTAAGTTGGCATAGGTTTAATTTTTATTTTTGTTTAGTCTAGAGTTTGGATTTAAGCAATCAAAAGCAAAAAAAGTGTACCATGAAAATATTTGAAATGTAAACCAGCATTTTAAGTTGGATGAAGTATCTACGTGTTGTATAGGTATGGTGCAAAACAAGAATATAGAATTTTTGTGTACCAAAAAATAGAAAAAAAAAAACAAAATCCTATTTTTTACCACATCTGTCCCAGTTCTCACATTTGTAACACAAAGTAAAGAAAACAAATTTTTCTTTTCCATCCTTTTCTTAGTTACTGTAATTTTTGCTCAATACTTGTAATACACTGCCATGTATACACGAGTGTGTATTTATATATTTTGCCAGTTTCTCATTGAATTTCTGCCTCAAACTCTTTTTTGCAGTTGAGAATTGCAATATTGAAATTAAATGAAAATTTTAAGAAGCGAACAAAAATTTAATCTACTTAATATTGAAGAGAGGCAATAATTGGAATTTTAAATTTCCCTATAATCTCAAATTTTGTAAAACGCACTGCTTTTTTAGATTTAAGTAAGATCTGCCAACCTGAACTCAACCATAGATAAAGTTAGGTAAACATTAATTGAATTTCAGTATTCTAATTCCAATAATTTTTTAGATTAATGGTGTTATTCCTTTTGAAGTTGTATACTACCTACTCAACCAAAGTATAACCTGGATTCCAAATACTCGTATAACTAAATAATATTCTAGAAATCATAGAATCCTATGAGAATTTTAAGATTTTAGCTCCATTAGTTTTTGGTTAAAAAATTCGATGTGCTAATAAAACAACTAACTCAACTGATTTGAGTCAAAATAACGACACTAACCAACAACGCGCATATATCTTATCTAAGACCACTACTTTTCAGTAAGAAAAAGCAATTGTAAGTGTGATAAACAACATGTCAACAATAAATTAGTTTACAACATTAATAAACATTTTATGTGCATAAAAAAAATAACTTAAAAGTTTTAACCTTAACCACAAACACATCACAAACACCTTTCAGCAAAATGCCACCAAATCCTTGGGAAAATGGCAATATTTTTAAAACATACCTTAATTTTCAACATTAATAATTGATCTACCATTGTCTTAAAATATCCTAAAGGAGATCTAAGGAGGTGACCGAAAAATTTACTCCAAAAATCCTTAAAATATTTTCCTCCTTCACTTCTCACTGAAAAATTCTTCTATTCTTTAATTTCAAACAAAAGAAGCAAAGCAAGAAAACAAAAAATTATTTGTGTCAATCGCTTGTTATCTTATCCTGACAATATTCGAATCCTTATCGAAATCATTACGTGTTTGGTTTACAAAAAGACAAATCGCTTTTTTTATTTTAATTTTTTTTTGTTTTTGCTCTCCGTTTAGCTTCTTATGAGTTTCTTAAATCTTTTCTGTACTATTTACTCTTATATTATCCTTTCAACTTCCGAAAAATAAGACCATTCCTGGTAATTGTTCAAAGTATAACAACAGTGTTTTCTTCTTAAAACAGCGTCTCGAAATAGTTTTATAGATAATGCTAACGATGATATTGATGATAGTTGGGATGTGGGTTAAATGGTTGACTCAATAAAGTATGAAATCAGAATAAACAAAAATTTTTTTTAAAATAATTTCACATCACACCAAAAATTTTGTTAATCTTAAAATTTTTTGGTTTGTCGTTGAATTTTTCAAGTCACGGATGCAAAACGAAAAGAATAAAACAAATTTAAATTTTTTTTTTTTTTAATATTTTTCTTTTGAAATTGGAAAATTGTTGTGTGTATTTTTCCGAATTTTTGAAAAATTGAAAAATTCAAGTCATTCTGTTGCTTTGTTTTCTCTATGGTAACATTTTTGTTTTAAATATTTTTGTATTATTTTAAATTTTTCATTCAAATTCTGCGAGAAAACTTTGTTTTCAAACATGATTTAAAATTTATTGTAATTTTCAAAAATTCAATGCAAAATATTAAAAGAAGAAGAACAAAAACACAGAAAATTTGCTTTTGTTTTGGGACCGATTAGCTACACAAGATTAAAAAATTAAGAAGTTTGGAAAAAATTTTTGATTTTCCACAATTTTCATTCATGTTTCTCATATTTAACGGATTAAGGTTTTCATTTGTAAGATAGCTACATACATATATGTTCAAAAATTATCAAAATTCTTAAAAGTTAAAATTTTCGATTTTTCGGGCTCTTTTGACAGGAACATGCAGTTATTGTTATACAAAAACGACAATTTGATATAATGGTGTCAGCAGAAGACTTAGTTCTTCATATTGATGGTTTTAAAATTTAGAATGAAACGATGGCTCGAACAAAAATCACAGGAACCATACCCCTGGAATTTCGCAATGGAAGTAACATTTATAATATTCGATTCCAAAACTAACTGTGATGTTCTCACACTGTCATATTCTCTAACCTTTATATTGTTTTAAGTTCTCCTAATCAGTATTAATTTCGTCATCGTTCGTAAAACATTAACGAAGAAATTGAGAGAGAGGTGTAACAATTACCACGATCTCAAAGAATAAATTAAAACCATTCTACCCCACAAGTTAAAGGTTACAAAATATTAGGGCTCCACCAATTCACCAATGAAATTGTTCTTTGAAGTTGCCAAGAAGCTAATCTCCTCCAACAAATATTTATTCTCATTCTTCATTTTTTTTCCGATTTCTCTAAAAAAATCTTCATCCTTAAAGCAAATAAAACACAAGGTGTTTTGAATCGCGTGAACACGTTTTACGAATTCACTGGAAAAAAAATATAATCAAATATAAAAAATGCACACATTTTTTTCCTTCTCTCTCTCTCTCTGTCTCTCTTTTAACAAATTCAAAAATTTTGTTGCTTTTATTTTTTTACTAAAATCCTTTAAAAAAAAGAGAAAAATAAAAACGCAAAGAATCCTTTTTCTTTTCTTCATCTTTTAAATTTTTACTTCAATGGTTTGTGTATTTTTTTTTCGTTCTTAAGATAAAACCAACAGGGACCTATTTAACATTCCAGTTGAGTTTTAAGAATGATATTCATTCCTGTAATAATAATAATAATATTGGTTCTCACTTTTTCCTTAAATTCATATTCGAATTTCTTCCTTATTTTTTTGTTTTGTACCTCTTGTATGTGTTCCCAGGAATTTAGTGTTATAAATATGCTGCCGGGGAGTAAGAATAAGTTTTTTTTAAAAGTTACCTTTTTTTTTGAATACTTTTCTGGTATTTATACAACAAAAAGAAAGAGAAACAAATTTTTTTTTTTTAAATCGTTTAAAATCCTTAAAGATGAAAGAATTTATTGGTAACTTGTTCTTCTTCATTGATGATTTATAAAAAAACTTAAGAAACTTAAGAAAAAGAATTGAATTCAATATTTTAAAGTGAAATTTTTGAAAAAAAAAGTAAATAAATAAAATGGCTGATAGAATATTTTGGTTTTAAAACCAAATTTACTATAAATTTAATAAATAATTTTGCAATCGAAGAGAGAAAATTACTGAGATTAAGAAAATTAGTGAGAAAATTCTCTTCCGGGAAAAGAAAATTATAGTTGATAAAGTAATGGTAATTTTTTTCGAAATTTCTTAATCCTTTTTATCCAAGTTTTGTTGACAAAACTTTGAAACATTAGTTCTACGGTAGCACTGCGACTATACACAGCCTTCGCTAAATCGATCGTCACCTATGCGTCTGGGGTGTGGTGTGTTGCAGGTAAGTATGGATATTAAAGGAGACTTCAGTGGATTGCTTGTCTGTAAGTCACACAAATAATGCGGACGATTCCAGCGGCTAATCGCAAGGCATCCGTCGAACTACCGACGCTCCTAGATGCTCTGCTAACAATTTACCGAATTCATATTGGTGATGATATCGCAGGAAAAAAATTTATCCACGATACTAATAGAGCTTAGGTCGCCCAGTGAGTACACACGTTATCATATGGTACGCATATGGGTCAAAAACCAGAATGGAGACGGGTGCGGGGGTGTTTGGGCCAAGAACCAAATTCTCCGAATCGTATGGGGACTTTCCCGAGTGTGTTTTGGGCTGAGGTACACGCCATTGAAAGGGGGTATCTGGGACATGAGATGATGATTATGTCAGATAGCCGGGCTACGATCGGAGCGTTGAACTCGTTTTTAGTATCCTCCGCGGCAGTATGGGGCTGTCCTGAGAAGCTCAATGTGTTGGGCAGGCGCAAC